AATCCCACCAGGACAGCCACGGCATGTTGGAACCCCGAAATCAGTGAAATCCACTGAAACCCACCCCAAATCCCTTCAAAACCCACCCAAAACACCACTGGGACATCCACGGCCCAGGGGAACCTTGAAACCCCACCAAACCCTCCCCAGATCCCGAAATTCCCAGGAAATCCATCCCCACCCGCGGCTCCCAGCGGGAACCACCCCAGCGCCGCTCTCACCCTCGAACTTGGCCACGGGCGGCTCCTCGCTGCCATCCCCGGGCTCCGCGCCCGTCTCCGTCCCCGCCGCCGTTTCCGTGCCGGCCGCCGGTGCCCAATCCACATCCCAGCACTCCTGCCAACCGCCGGGGCTCCCGGGAGGAGCGGCGGGCGGTGCCGGCGGCTCCCGGCGGCTGCCCAGGGGCTGCTTCCGCGGGCACCGCGCGGCCGCCGCCTGCGCCAGCTCCCGGCGGAACGCTTTGTCCTCCGACAGCTTCTCCATGATCAGCTTCTGCCGGCGGCACCGGGTGAGGATGAGGAGGCTCCCGGGGTGGGTTAAACCGGGCTCAAGGCGGGGGTTAAGCCCAGCTCACCTTGGCCGCCTCCACCTCTTTGCGCGTCCCCAGCAGGCGGATGATGCGCAGCGGGGCCAGGCTGGCGTCGGGCTCGTGGCCGCACTCCACGCGAGCCCCCGAGCTCCGGCAGATGGCCCGGACCGTCTCCCCGCCGCGGCCTGAGGGCACCGGAGCGTCCCGGAGGGGAACCGGGGGGCGTGAGCAGCGGGGAGAGGGGGTTCGGGGGGGGTTCTCAAAGGGAGTGAGGGCTGGGGGAGGGAAGGGAGTTTGGGAATGGGGTTGCACCGGGATTTGGGGGGGTCCCTGTGGCTATGGAAGGTTCCCTGCAGGTTTTGGGGTGCCCCGTACCGATGATCCTGCCCATGGCCCGCTGGGGCACATGGAGCTGTTCAATACCCTGGGATTTGGGGTTCCCCAAGGATCTGGGGGGTCCCAGGGGCTATGGAAGGTTCCCTGCAGGTTTTGGGGTGCCCTGTACCGATGATCCTGCCCACAGCCTGTTCACTGCTGGGGAACACACAGTGTTCCCAGGTGCTTGGTACTCTGGGATTTGGGGTTCCCCAAGGATTTGGGGTGTCCCAGTGACTATGGAGGGTTCCCCCTGGGTTTTGGGGTGCCCCGTACCGATGATCCTGCCCACGGCCCGCTGGGGCACATGGAGCTGTTCAGCACACTGGGATTTGGGGTTCCCTTGGGATTTGGGGGGTCCCAGGGGCTATGGAAGGTTCCCTGCAGGTTTTGGGGTGCCCTGTACCGATGATCCTGCCCACAGCCTGTTCACTGCTGGGGAACACACAGGTGCTTGGTACCCTGGGGTTTGGGGTTCCCTTGGGATTTGGGGGGGTCCCAGGGGCTATGGAAGGTTCCCAGCAGGATTTGGGGATACATAAGGATCCTCCCCAATTTTGGGGTGCCCCGTACCAATGATTCAGCCCAAGGCCCACTGGGGCACATGGAGCTGTTCAATACCCTGGGATTTGGGTTCCCTGGGGATTTGGGGTGCCCCATGAGGTACAGAACGTTCCCCCCGGGTTTTGGGGTGTCCCGTACCAATGATCCTGCCCACGGCCCGCTGGGGCACGCGCAGCTGCTCGGCCACGGGCGCGCTGTCGGCCACGATGCGCAGCACGGCCGCCCTGGCCCGGCACACCTGGCCCGGCGAGCCCGAGATCTGCACCAGGGACTGCCCCCCTTCCTCCTCCTCCTCCTCCTCCTCCACTTCGATCTGGGCTCCCGACTCCTGCCTCAGCTGCGGGACAGCGGGGATGCGGCATTCCCGGTGCTCCCGGTGCTCCCAGAGTTCCCAGTGCTCCCAGTGTTTCCAGTGCTCCCAGTCCCTCCCAGCACCCCGGTACTCCCAGTTCCCCCAGTGCTCCCAGTTCCCCCAGTGCTCCTGGTACTCCAGGTGTTTCCCTGTTCCCCCAGTGCCCCCAGTTCCACCAGTTCCCCCAGCATGTCCCGTTTCTTCCAGTCCTTCCCAGTTCCCCCCGTTCCCCCAGCACACCCGGTGCTTCTGGTGCTTCTATTGCTTCCAGTTCCCTCAGTTCCCCCAGTGTTCCCAGTTCCCCCAGTGTTCCCAGTTCCCCAGCACCCCCAGTTCTCCCAGTTCCCTCAGCACCCCCAGTTCCCCCAGTTCCCCAGCACCCCCAGTTCCCCCAGTTCCCCAGCACCCCCAGTTCCCCAGCTGCCCCACCTGGTTGATGGTGGCTCCCCGGCGGCCGATCAGCGCTTTCAGGGCCGTGCGGGGCACCCTGAGCCCCACCTCCAGCCCCTCGTCTGCCACCAGCGTCACCTGCGCCTCTGAGGGGACAGCGGGGACACGGCTGGGTCCCGGGGGGGCACGGAGGGGCCGGGACCCCTCCAAGGGGGCTCTGCTTCCCAGGGGCTCCCCAAAGTGTCCCCAAAGTGTCCCCAAAGGGTCCCAAAGGTGTCCCCAAAGGGACAGGAAGGGACTGGGACCCCTCCCAGGGGGGTTACAAACAGGGAACAGAGAATTCCCGGCGGGAAAAGGGACTCCAAGGGGGCTCCGCTTCCAAGGGGGTCCCCAAAGCGTCCCCAAAGTGTCCCTAGGGTGTTCCCAAAGTGTCCCCAGGGGGTCCCCAAAGTGTCCCCAGGGGGTCCCCAAAGTGTCCCCAGGGGGTCCCCAAAGGATCCCAAAGGGACAGGGACCTCCCTGGGGACCTCACAAGGGAATTTGCAGTGGGAAAAGTGACTCCAAGGGACCCCCACTTCCCATTGGGGTCCCCAAAGTGTCCTGTCCCCAAAGGGACAGGAAGGGACTGGGACCCCTCCCAGGGGGGTTACAAACAGGGAACAGAGAATTCCCGGCGGGAAAAGGGACTCCAAGGGGGCTCCGCTTCCAAGGGGGTCCCCAAAGCGTCCCCAAAGTGTCCCTAGGGTGTTCCCAAAGTGTCCCCAGGGTGTCCCCAAAGTGTCCCCAGGGTGTCCCCAAAGTGTCCCCAGGGTGTCCCCAAAGTGTCCCCAGGGTGTCCCCAAAGTGTCCCCAGGGTGTCCCCAAAGGGTCCCAAAGGGACAGGGACCTCCCTGGAGACCTCACAAGGGAATTCCCAGCGGGAAAAGTGACTCCAAGGGACCCCCACTTCCCATTCGGGTCCCCAAAGTGTCCCCAAAGTTTCGCCAAGGTGTCCCCAGAGGGCTCCCAAGGTGTTCCTGAGGGGTCCCCAGAGTGTCCCCAAGGTGTCCCCAGAGGGTCACAAAGGGACAGGAACCTCGCTGGAGACTTCACAAGGGAATTCCCAGCGGGAAAAGTGACTCCAAGGGACCCCCGCTTCCTAGGGAGTCCCCAAAGTGTCCCCAAGGTGTCTCCAGGGTGTCCCCAAACGGTCCCCAAAGAGTCCCAAAGGGACAGGGACCTCCCTGGGGAGCTCACAAGGGAATTCCCAGCGGGAAGAAGTGACTCCAAGGGGCCCCCACTTCCTAGGGAGTCCCCAAAGTGTCCCCAAAGTGTCCCCAGAGGATTCCCAAGGTGTCCCTGAAGGGTCCCCAGGGTGTCCCCAAGGTGTCCCCAGGGTGTCCCCAAGGTGGCCCCAGAGGGTCACAAAGGGACAGGGAGGTCACAAGGGAATTCCCTGAGCGAAAAGTGACTCCAAAAACCTCCCCTTCCCCAAAGTGTCCCCAGAGGGTCCCCAAAGGGTCCCCAGAGGGTCCCCAGGGTGTCCCCAAAGTGTCCCCAGGGTGTCCCCAAAGGGTTCCAAAGGGACAGGGACCTCCCTGAGGAGCTCACAAGGGAATTCCCTGGGGGAAAAGCGACTCCCGCAGGCTCCCCCTGCCCGCGGGAGCTCCCGGGGGTACCGGGGGGGCGAGGCCAGGCCCCGGTGCGGGACCCGCACCCACCTCGGTTCTCCCGGTAGCGCCGGTACAGGAGGTAGAGCACGGTGGCCGCGGCCGGGACGCCCAGGAGCAGGGCGGTTTTCTGCAGGCTGCTCAGGCTGTGCACGGAGCCGCGTCCCGCCATCGCCGCCTGCGGACGGGGCTCACCGCGCCGTTACCGGGGCTTTACCGGGGGTTACCGAGAGACCACCGGCAGCTCCCGGTGGGGCCGGGCCGCGCTGCGTCCCCCACCGCGGGGACTCCCCGGCCGTCCCCCCCCACCCGTGCCCTCACGGCGGGCTCGGCTCAGGTGCAGGCCCCGGGCCCGGTGCAGCGGCAGCGGAGCCCCCGCAGCCACCGCGGCCGCGCCCCCCGGTGGTCTCACGGTACCTGCAGGTGCCGGGACCGCCCCTCGGCCCAGTAGCGGCGCTGGCTCGGCCCGGCCCGACCACAAGAAGCCCCGGTTCGGGCCCGGCCCCGGTTCGGGCCCGGTGTGGCCCCGGTGCCGCCACCGCCTCCCGCGCCCCGCCGCTGGCCCCGCCTCCTCCCGCCCTCCACCAATCACATCGCGGCTCCTCCCCTCCCAGCCAATCACAGCGCAGCCCGCACAGATCCCACCCAATCACGGCTTGCGGAGCAGCGGCCAATCCCCGCGAGACCTCCCACAGGCGGGGGCGGGAAATAACGGGAATAAAGCAGCCAATCAACTGCGAGTAGAGGGAGGCGAACCAATCAGAGAGCCAGAAAATACGAATGCCCGCCTTCTAGTTTGAGTGACAGGCACAGAAGCCTATGGGCGCTCGGAGCGCTGCGCGGGGCGGGCTCTAATGCCGCTCCGGGTGTCCCCGCGTGTCCCCCGTGACGGAGCCCACGGACACACCGGCGCTCCCCAAAAACGCCTTTATTCCCCTCCAACGCCGCCCCACCGAGCCCCGCCAACGCGTGGGGACCGTGCGACAGCTCGCGGGGCACGGGGACAGCGGGCACCCACGGGGACCGGGCACCCACGGGGGACAGCCCCGCCAGGTGCCGGGGCCCCGTGGGTGGCGGGTCCCCTCCAGGTGCCGCATTCCCGGCAGGTGCCGGGGTGGGAGCACCCCCAGTTGTGCTCAGGTGCAGGGGCGGTCCCGGTGATCCCGGTAATGCCGGGGGTCCCGGTGATCCCGGTAATACCGGCGATCCCGGTGATCCCGGCGGTCCCGATGTCGCGCTCAGCAGGGTCACGGATGCTCCCGGTGGTCCCCGGGCGGCGCTCAGCGGGTCCCTGCGGGGCCATCGGCGGGGTCGGGGGCGAAGAGCTCCCGGTAGAGCGGGGGGAAGGCGGCCGAGACCCCCGCGGGGTGCAGGCGGCGGAAAGCCTGGACCTGCTCCAGGTGCTGCGAGCACAGAGCGCGGAACCGGCCCGGGGCGGGCAGCTGCGGGGACACGGCGGGGACACGGCTGTCACCGAGGGGACACGGCGGGGACACCCAGGGACACGCGTGGGGACACGGCTGTTACCGCGGGGACACCGAGGACACGCGTGGGGACACGGCTGTCACCGCGGGGACACCCAGAGACACGCGTGGGGACACGGCTGTCACCTGGGGGACACCCAAGAACACGCGTGGGGACACGGCTGTCACGGCGGGGACACACAGGGGGACACCCAGGGACACGCGTGGGGACACGGCTGTCACCACACTGACACGGCTGTCACCGCGGGGACACACACGGGGACACGGCTGGGACACCGAGGACACGCGGGGACACGGCTGTCACCACACGGACACGGCTGCGACACCGCGGGGACACACGGGGGGGACACGCGTGACACACGCGCGGGGAACCCCCCGAGCCAGGGTCACCCCAATGTCCCCAAACCCCGCCCTGCCCCCTCCCCCCTCCATGCCCAAGGACCCCCAGGGACACCCCCGACCCCCGTGTCCCCTCCCGGTGTCCCGGTGTCCCCACCCGTGCCAGGAGCCCCTCGCGGCGGGTCCGGCGCAGCAGGAGCCGGAAGGCGACATCGAGCTGTCCCTGCAGCCGCGCCACCCGCGGGCGGTCCTGCAGCCACGGCCGGCCTGGGGACAGCGACACGGCGTGGGGACAGGGGTGTGGGGACAGGGACACGGCGTGGGGACACGGACAGGGGCCTGGGGACAGGGATACAGCGTGGGGACAGGGACACGGCCTGGGGACAGCGACACGGCGTGGGGACACGGACATGGCGTGGGGACTCGGACAGGGTGTGGGGACAGGGACACGGCATGGGGACAGGGGTGTGGGGACAGGGACACGGTGTGGGGACAGGGACACGGTGTGGGGACACGGACAGGGCATGGGGACAGGGACAGGGGTGTGGGGACACAGGTGTGGGGACAGGGACAGGGCATGGGGACACGGACACGGCGTGGGGACAGGGGTGTGGGGACAGGGACACGGCGTGGGGACAGTGACAGGGCATGGGGACATGGACAGGGGCGTGGGGACAGGGACAGGGCGTGGGGACAGGGACACGGCGTGGGGACAGGGACAGGGGCGTAGGGACAGGGGCACGAGCGTGGGAATACCTTGGGGACACTGTGGGGGACACCTTGGGGACACCCCGCCGCCCACCGCGCTCAGGGACAAACCCCGTTTGAGGTTTGGGGAGGGACACGGGGCGGGGACCACGGAGCGGGACAAGGGGTGGGGACGCCGGGGGGACACTCGGGGACATTTGGGGACAGGGCTGACCGGCGTTGAGCAGCAGCAGCGCGCTCAGCAGCGCCAGCTCGCTCTCGGAGCAGCGCAGCGCGCTCAGCCCCCGCGCGAAGTCAAAGACGGACGCGACGAGCTCGGGACACCCTGGGGACAGCCCGGCGTCACCGCTGTCCCCAAGTGTCCCCCGAGCGTCCCCCGGCCGTGTCGCCGCCCTACCCAGCGAGCGGAAGAGCTCGGGCCCCGCCAGTTTGCCCTCGAACAGGACCGTGCCGGTGGCGACGTCCAAGGCGCGACACATCCGGAGCAGGACAACCTCCATGGCACCTGGCACCGCGGCAGGCGACAGCGCTGCTGGCACCGGCGACACCGCCACCGCATCCACGGGGTGCGGAGGGGACGCCGCGGTGGTGGCCCCGGGCGGTGTCACCTCGGCAGGGAGGATGGGGGGGATTTTGGGGACTGTCACCTCCCCGTGGGACACGCGGGGTTGTCACCTCCCCAGGGAGGATGGGGGGGATTTTGGGGACTGTCACCTCCCCGTGGGACACGCGGGGTTGTCACCTCCCCAGGGAGGATGGGGGGGATTTTGGGGACTGTCACCTCCCCGTGGGACACGCGGGGTTGTCACCTCCCCAGGGAGGATGGGGGGGATTTTGGGGACTGTCACCGCCCCGTGGGACACGCGGGATTGTCACAAGGGGACAGGGTGTCCCTAGAGCTGGAGACAAGGAGATGGGATAGCCCTGGGGCTGGGGACAAGGGGACAGAGTGTCCCTAGGGCTGGGGACAATGTCACAAGGCGACAGGGTGGCCCTTGGGCTGGTGACAATGTGATGGGGTGTCCCTGGGGCTGGGGACAGTGACATGTCGTGGCCCTGGGGCTGGGGACAAGGGGACAGAGTGTCCTTAGGGCTGGGGACAATGTGATGGGGTGACCCTGGGGCTGGGGACAAGAGCACAGGGTGGCCCTGGGGCTGGGGACAAGGGGTCACAGTGTCCCTGGGGCTGGTGACAAGGGGCCGGGGCGTCCCTGTGAGTGTGCACCAGGGCCCGGGGTGGCCCTGGGCTGGTGACAGTGACACGGGGACGCGGTGGCCGTACCCGCCTTGAGCAGGACGATCTGGTCGTGCTGGCTGAGCTGCAGGAAGCCGCGCAGGCGCTTGGCGAACTCCACCACGCGCTCGATGGCCTCGGTGACACGGCGGGCACAGCGCTGCCACATCTCCGCCGTGGGCTGCGAGAGCGGCTGTCACCCCCGCGCCACCGCTGGGGACAGCCGCGCCACCCCTGGGGACAGCCGCGTCCCCCGCCCGGCCCGCACCTGGCTCTGGTAGGCGCGGATCTCCTCGGGGCTGAAGGTGACCCAGTGGTGGCCCTGGAGGTCCTCGGCGCGGGGGTGGCACGTGGCGCGGTGTGACAGCAGGACACTCTGTGTCAGGAGCTCTGAGGGGACAGAGGTGACACGGTGTGACAGCAGGACACTGGGTCAGGAGCTCTGAGGGGACAGGAGTGACACGGTGTGACAGCAGGACACTGGGGTGGCGCGGTGTGACAGCAGGACACTGCGTCAGCAGCTCTGAGGGGACAGGGGTGGCTGCGAGAGCGGCTGTCACCCCCGCGCCACCGCTGGGGACAGCCGCGCCACCCCTGGGGACAGCCGCGTCCCCCGCCCGGCCCGCACCTGGCTCTGGTAGGCGCGGATCTCCTCGGGGCTGAAGGTGACCCAGTGGTGGCCCTGGAGGTCCTCGGCGCGGGGGTGGCACGTGGCGCGGTGTGACAGCAGGACACTCTGTGTCAGGAGCTCTGAGGGGACAGGGGTGGCACGGTGTGACAGCAGGACACTGGGGTGGCGCGGTGTGACAGCAGGACACTGCGTCAGCAGCTCTGAGGGGACAGGGGTGGCACGGTGTGACAGCAGGACACTGGGGTGGCACGGTGTGACAGCAGGACACTGCGTCAGCAGCTCTGAGGGGACATGCAGGGCTTGGGGACAGGCGTGGGGACAGGGAGGGTGGCCCGGTGTGTGGCCTTGGTGGGTAAGGAGTCACCAGCGTGGTGGCATCCACGGGTGACAGAGCCGGTGCCACCACCATGGAGCATCACAGGTGACATCCCGAGGTGTCACCAGCCGTGCCCGAACAGGTGACACCGCCGGCCCCACAGGTGACACCGCCAGCCCCGCAGGTGACATTGCTAGCCCCGCAGGTGACGCTGACAGCCCCGCAGGTGACACCGCCAGCCCCGCAGGTGACACTGCCAGCCCCGCAGGTGACAGTCCCCAGGGCCACTCACCGATCTCCAGGCCCGCGGGTGACTCCGGGACGCCGCCGGTACCGGGCTGAGGGATCGGCCCCGTCGCCGCTGTCCCCGCTGTCCCCGCCCTGTCCCCGTCCTGTCCCCGCCTTGTCGCCTCCTCCGCGGGCCACGCCCTGCTGGGACAGCCCGCGGCGACAGCGGGGGACAGCGGGGGACAGCGCCCCGCCGGGGGGGGCTGCGGTGGCCCCGGGGCCGGCCGTTCCTGCTCCCGCTTTTCCAATTTTCCCCATTTCCCCCGATTTTCCCGGTTTTCCGGCTGTTCCCGGTGCTCCAGCTGTTCCAGCTGTTCCCGGTGTTGTTCCCGGTGTTGTTCCCGGTTTTTCTCCCGCTTTTCCAGCTGTTCCCGCACCTCGGCCTGGAGCCGGTCCCGCTGCTTCTTGGACATGCGGCCGAACTTGACGGCTGCGGGGACAGCGGGTGACACCGGAGTGCCACACGCGCGCGGGGACACCTCGGGCTGTCCCCGGGGCGGTGACAGGTGGCGCCGGGGTGGGGACAGGGGTCCTCAGGGAGGGGGCGGGGGGCTGCAGCTTTGGGGGACAGGTGTCCCCAAATGCGGGGACACCAGGGGCGGGGACAGCTGTCCCCAGGGGCACAGGATGGTGTCCCCAGGGGTCCCAGATGTCCCCAGGGGTTCCAGATGTCCCCAGGGGCACAGGGCAGTGTCCCCAGGGGTTCCAGCTGTCCCCAGGGTAACAGACTGATGTCCCCAGGGGCACTGGGCGGTGTCCCCAGGGGACAGGGACAGTCCCCGGTGTCCCCAGGGGTTCCAGATGTCCCCAGGGGTTCCAGATGTCCCCAGGGGTTCCAGCTGTCCCCAGGGTCACAAGGCGATGTCCCCAGGGGACAGGGACAGTCCCCGGTGTCCCCAGGGACAGTCCCCGGTGTCCCCAGCGGTTCCAGATGTCACCAGGGGGGTCCAGATGTCCCCAGGGGCACAGGGCGCTGTCCCCAGGGACAGTCCCCGGTGTCCCCGCCCCCGATGGCGGTGTGCCCGCGCTGTCCCCGCGGTGTCCCCGCGGTGTCCCCGTGCCACACACCGTCGCGGGACATTCCGAGGCGCAGGCACTTCTGCAGGCGGCAGTGCTGGCAGCGCGTGCGGGTGGCGCGGTCGATGTCGCAGCGCTGCCCGCGGTGACACGCCAGGCTCGGCCCGCGCCGCTCGCTGCGCCGGAAGAAGCCCTGGGGTGGCACCGTGTCACACGTGTCACCAGCGTCACCCGTGTCACCCCACGGCACCATGTCCCCCTGTCCCAATGTCCCCATATCCCGCATGTCCCCCTGTCCCAATGTCCCCCTGTCCCAATGTCCCCCCATGTCCCCCTGTCCCAATCATGTCCCCAAGTCCCCCTCACATCCCCCTTGTCCCCATGTCCCCCCCCTTGTCCCCATGTCCGCATATCCTCATGTCCCCCCTTGCCCCTATATCCCCATGTCCCCCCTTGTCCCCAAATCCCCATGTCCCCAATGTCCCATGTCCCCCTTTATCCCCCACATGTCCGCATGTCCTTCCATGTCCCCGTGTCCCCTGTCCCACCGTGTCCCCGTGTCACCTTGCAGCCCTCGCAGGTGATGACCCCGTAGTGCACCCCGGAGGATTTGTCCCCGCAGATCTTGCAGGGAATCACCTCGATGTGGGCTGGGGGGACACGGGGACACTGGCATGGGGACACTGGCATGGGACACTGACATGGGGACACTGGCATGGGGACACTAGCACGGGACAGTGGCATGGGGACACTGGCATGGGACACTGGCACAGGACACTGGCATGGGGACACTGGCATGGCACAGGACAGTGGCATGGGACACTGGCATGGGACACTGGCACAGGACACTGGCATGGGGACACTGGCATGGGGACACTGGCACGGGACACTGGCACGGGACACTGGCATGGGGACACTGGCACGGGACACTGGCACGGGACACTGGCATGGGGACACTGGCACGGGACACTGGCACGGGACACCGGCACAGGACACTGGCATGGGACACTGGCACGGGACAGTGGCATGGGGACACTAGCAAGGGACAGTGGCACGGGACACTGGCATGGGACACTGGCACAGGACAGTGGCATGGCACAGGACATTGACACAGGACACTGGCATGGGGACAGTGGCATGGGACAGTGGCATGGGACACTGGCATGGGGACACAGGCAGGGGACACTGGCATGGGACACTGGTACAGGACACTGGCACAGGACACTGGCATGGGGACATAGGCAGGGGACACTGGCACGGGACAGTGGCATGGGGACACTGGCATGGGGACACAGGCAGGGGACACTGGCACAGGACACTGGCATGAGGACACAGGCAGGGGACACTGGCATGGGACAGTGGCATGGGGACACGGGCAGGGGACACTGGCATGGGGACACCGGCACAGGACACTGGCATGGGACAGTGGCATGGGGACACGGGCACAGGACACTGGCACGGGACACTGGCATGGGGTCCCTGTCACCCGCAGTGCCACCCGTGTCCTCCCACGGTTCAGGTGTCCCCATGGGCTGCTGTGTCACCCGTGGGACCAGGTGTCACCTGTGCCTTCACGTGTCACCTGTGGGACCAGGAGGTCCCCCATGGGCTCGGGTGTCACCCGTGGGACCTGTGTCACCTCCCCAATGTCCCCATTGTCCCAGTGTCCCCTGTCACCCTGTGCTGGCGCTGCCGGAGCCACAAAGCCACAACTGGGACACGGCCCCGGGACAGGAAACGCGCGGGGCCAGGACGGGACTGGGGGCTCCCAGTATGGCCCAGTACAGCCCAGTATGGGACTGGGGCCTCCCAGTATGGGACTGGCAGCTCCCAGTACAGCCCGGTACGGGACTGGGGGCTCCCAGTATGGCCCAGTACAGCCCAGTATGGGACTGGGGCCTCCCAGTATGGGACTGGCAGCTCCCAGTACAGCCCGGTACGGGACTGGGGGCTCCCAGTATGGCCCAGTACAGCCCAGTATGGGACTGGGGCCTCCCAGTATGGGACTGGCAGCTCCCAGTACAGCCCGGTACGGGACTGGGGGCTCCCAGTATGCCCCAGTATGGGACTGGCGGCTCCCAATATGGCCCAGTACAGGACTGGCAGCTCCCAGTATGGCACAGTTTGCTCCCAGTATGGCCCAGTTCAGCCCCAGTACGGAACTGGCAGCTCCCAGTACAGGGACTGGCAGCTCCCAGTACAGCCCGGTACGGGACTGGGGGCTCCCAGTATGGGACTGGCGGCTCCCAGTATGGCCCAGTACAGGACTGGCAGCTCCCAGTATGGCCCTGGCCTGGCACTGGCACTCGTGCAAGGCCCTCGCTCCTCCACCTGCACACGCGTGTGACACACCTGGACACTTGTGACACACCTGGATACGTGTGACACTCTCTCAGACGCATGCGCCAGCGCTGCCACACGCGTGTGACACCCCCAGACATGTGTGACATACCCAGACACGTGTGACAACCCCGCCACATGCGTGTGGGACATCCCAGACACGTGTGACCCCCCGGACATGTGTGACACCCAGATATGTGTGACATACCCAGACACGTGTGACAACCCCGCCACATGCGTGTGGGACATCCCAGACACGTGTGACCCCCCGGACATGTGTGACACCCAGATATGTGTGACATACCCAGACACGTGTGACAACCCCGCCACATGCGTGTGGGACATCCCCAGTATGGGACTGGGAGCTCCCAGTATGGCCCAGTATGGGACTGGGAGCTCCCAGTATGGCCCAGTACAGCCCAGTATGGGACTGGGGGCTCCCAGTATGCCCCAGTATGGGACTGGGGGCTCCCAGTATGGGACTGGCAGCTCCCAGTACAGCCCGGTACGGGACTGGGGGCTCCCAGTATGGGACTGGCGGCTCCCAGTATGGCCCAGAACAGGACTGGCAGCTCCCAGTATGGCCCTGGCCTGGCACTGGCACTCGTGCAAGGCCCTCGCTCCTCCACCTGCACACACGTGTGACACACCTGGACACTTGTGACACACCTGGATACGTGTGACACTCTTTCAGATGCATGTGCCAGCGCTGCCACACGCGTGTGATACCCCCAGACATGTGTGACACACCCGGACACGTGTGACAACCCCGCCACATGCGTGTGGGACATCCCAGACACGTGTGACCCCCCGGACATGTGTGACACCCAGACACGTGTGACACCCCAGACGTGTGACCCCCCAGACACGTGTGACCCCCTGGACATGTGTGACACCCAGACACGTGTGACACCCCCAGACACATGTGACAGCCCCGCTCCCTCCCCCCCGCCCCGTTTTCCTCCCGCCCTAGTTTTTTGGTTTTTTGGTTTTTTGGGGCCGGCGCCGCGCGCGCATCCGGCCCGGGGGGGGGCTGGTGGGCACCGGGGGCACCGGGGGGACCCCGGGTTTGGGGGCGCTGAGTCAGCCCCGCGCCCCGAATTACTCAGCCCGTGCCGGGAAGCGCCGCGGCGGGGCCGCTCCTGCCGGGAACCGGGGGCACCGGGGAACGGGAGGCACCGGGGAACTGGGGCACCCAAAAATCCGGGGGTACCGGGGAAATTGGGGCAAGCACCGCGTTTAGGGCACCGGGGACACCGGGGGGCCCCATCACACCGGGGGTTACCGGGGAACGGGGGGCTCCATCACACCGGGGGTTACCGGGGAACGGGGGGCTGACAGCCCCGCTCCCTCCCCCCCGCCCCGTTTTCCTCCCGCCCTAGTTTTTTGGTTTTTTGGTTTTTTGGGGCCGGCGCCGCGCGCGCATCCGGCCCGGGGGGGGGCTGGTGGGCACCGGGGGCACCGGGGGGACCCCGGGTTTGGGGGCGCTGAGTCAGCCCCGCGCCCCGAATTACTCAGCCCGTGCCGGGAAGCGCCGCGGCGGGGCCGCTCCTGCCGGGAACCGGGGGCACCGGGGAACGGGAGGCACCGGGGAACTGGGGCACCCAAAAATCCGGGGGTACCGGGGAAATTGGGGCAAGCACCGCGTTTAGGGCACCGGGGACACCGGGGGGCCCCATCACACCGGGGGTTACCGGGGAACGGGGGGCTCCATCACACCGGGGGTTACCGGGGAACGGGGGCAGCGAGGCACTCCCAAACCCGGCGGGTACCGGGTTCACCGGGAGAACCGGGGGCACCCACCGCGTCCGGGGGCACCGGAGGCGATCGGGGCACCCGCAGCACCGGGGAACCGGCGGAACTGGGGCACCGAGGGAATCTGGGACACCGGGAAACACCGGGGGCTGCCGGTAAGGCGGGCACCTCAGATCTACCGGCACCCGCCGGACTGGGGGCACTGGGGGGCACTGGGAGGCACTGGGGGATACAGGGGACAATGGGGACACGGAGGGTCCCCAGCGCCCGGGGCCGCCCCGCCCCCGTTCCCCGGGGCCACCTGCGCGTCCCCGCCGTTGTCACCGCAGGGTCCCCCCGGGTCCCCCCCCGGCGCCGCCGCCACATCAAGGGAGGGACCCGCAGGTGCGCGGGGGGGGACAGGGACACGGGGGGAGAGTGACACACGTGTGACAGCCTGTGACACACATGTGGGACCTGTGACACACGTGTGACAGCCTGTGACACACATGTGGGACCTGTGACACACGTGTGACAGCCTGTGACACACATGTGGGACCTGTGACACACGTGTGACAGCCTGTGACACACATGTGCGAGTGTGACACACGTGTGACAGCCTGTGACACGCGTGTGACACCTGACACACGTGTGCGGGACCCGTGACACACATGAACAGCCTGTGACACGCGTGTGGGACGCGTGACACGGGTGTGAGCCCCAAAACACGCGAGTGGAGGTCACAACAGCCGTGGGCAGCATGTGACACGTGTGACACACCAAAACACGCGTGTGCAGCCCGTGACACACGTGTGTGCCCTGTGACACACCTGTACAGCCTGTGACACCCCTGTACAGCCCGCGACACACCTGTGCACGCTGTGACATGTGTGTGAGCCCTGTGACACACGTGTGTGCCCTGTGACACACCTGTACAGCCCGTGACACACCTGTGCACGCTGTGACACGTGTGTGAGCCCTGTGACACACGCGTGACACACCAAAACACGCGTGTGCAGCCTGTGACACGCGTGTGCTGCCTGTGACACGCGTGTGTGCCCTGTGACAGGCATGCACAGCCTGTGACACACCTGTACAGCCCATGACACACCTGTGCACGCTGACACACATGTGTGCAGCCTGTGACACACCTGTACAGCCTGTGACACACCTGTGCATGCTAACACACGCGTGTACAGCCTGTGACACACCTGTACAGCCTGTGACACACCTGTGCACGCTGACACACGCGTGTGCAGCCCGTGACACACCTGTGCTCCCCGTGACACACCCGCGCACCCCAAAACTCGCGTGTGCAGCCCCCCCACCCCCCCCTCCTCGCACGCGCCCCCCTTG